TGATCATTCTTAGTAATATTAACTAGGAGCTACGGAATATGCTTTTGCTCTTCATCTTCCATGTTTAACTCCTTAAAAGTACACCTAAAACTTCCTGTGCCCATTAAACTGCTCTTAAAACCTCCTGTGTCAGTAGACAGAGTAAGTTCATTCTGATAACTTTTATCTGTCTCCCACAATAAAAGGGGCAAGATCAGGACCAAATACATCTGAGTGATTGCATAATATACAGTGGTGGTTTGTTTTAATAAATTTTCACCAACACAGTTAAATAAAGGGTGTAAACAGCTCCTGTATCATTAAGTCTACAGGATCTGAAACTAATTTATTTGTTTGCTGCATTTTCTTTCACTGTTTAAATCCAATGATATAGTTTAGGCCTCATCCACAGAAAAATTCTTGGGAAAGTCATGTAAACATCACTTGCTGTTGGATAATAGCATTTTCTAGCAAGTGTGCACCTATCCATTGCTGTTGCATCATTTACTCCATTCCAGACAGGAAGTTACAATAATTTCTATAAAGCACTGACTTCTAATTAACTTGTGGAGTACTTTTTCAAGTTTAATTTAGTGGTTAAATCCTGTTAATTCCTGTTAAAATATGGGTTCTTTAGATGTCAAACTAAGCTCAGTCTAAGATTGTTGTCTGAGACAAATCTTTTAAGTCTTTTTTAACAGTTTCTCATCTTGTTAAAACTTTGACAGCCCAAAAGCTGAGCTTCCTCAGCTTCCATCTGAGCTTCCTCAGTTTGACTGATTTTACCATACAGTTTTTGCTAGCTTGTGAAGTTACAACCTTTCAAACTTAGACTGCTTTGGCATAAGTTGGGGCACAATTCGAGGTTAGTAAAACCTTTCATATCTCAAACTGTATTTCCAGCACACCCAAATCTTAACATTAAGATAGAAGTACGCATTTGCAAAATGCCATATTTGACTGACTGGTCCACTAGCCAAAACCAGCACTAACTTTTATCTTACCTATCTTATTCCTGAGTAAACACAGGCCATATTTACTGCAAGTATAGCACTTGCTGTTGCCTTCGGAGAAATTAAATTTAGATGCCTTTCTATTTCCATACAGTTTCAGATGTTTGTAGACTCCCTAGTAGGGAGAAGAATCAAATAAAGGCATGTGACAGAAAGAAAACAAACAGATACAGTTAAAGAACCCTGATGTACATAAAAAATACACAATAGACAGTTCCATAACAAATCCATCCCGTATAACAAAGTAAAATCAATCAGCATAATGTGGGAAACTGTCAGGCTTTTGAGACAGGAAAAAGTAAAGAATCTAAGATGCAAGATGTGAAGTTTAGAAGACCTGCCTAAACACTATAGTGAACTGGTAGAAACAAATTCTAGAAAGTACTCTCTCTCACATGGCTACTTGAAAATGTGCTATTCATAATATTAAAAAAAAGTAAAGTGCACAAATTATAAAATCAAACCCTTTTTGAGATTTTACAATCTATGCTCCAAAACATCAAATATCTAGATAAAACATATAATAGGTTAAAACATCAGTCATTGTATTAATATCAAGACTATTAATATCAAGAATTTTAAATTTTTAAATGTAATTTATTTATTACTATCATCTCTGTTGGAATCAAGATTTATATGGTATAATTTAACCTGCTACTGAGTAGAACTTTTGTTTATCTCAAATATGTAGACTTAAATTCATGAAAAAAAAAAAAATCAGTCTCAACTATATTTGTTCTTTTCCTTATAGTTAATATAATTATATTAATGGCAAAGTTAGGAAGATAAGAGACTGAATTACTGTACACTTTATCAATGAACTATTTATACTCCATTTTCCCCCACTTCCCCCCCCTTTTCCTTTCTGAAACCAGACAATCAATCAACACATAAAGGAACTCATTTACATGGAACACTATCACACTTGTCTTTGTTGGGCCACCATTTCATGAACAATCCAGGATTTATGGCTGTTGAAGACTGGTGCATATATAGATTTAACAAATAACAGTTCTTATGCAGAGAGCAATCACAGAGAAAAATAGCTAATCAAAACACATTACAACATTAAATTTTCACTTTTTATAAATGGAGTAAAGATGCTTTTAAATATATTTACAGTTAGAAAAAGGACTTAGGATTACTACACGTCAAAATTATTTAAAAATTATGAAAGTGAAGTTCATTTAAATTATAACACTATGAACAGAGTCATACGCCATATTTTACTTCAAATTTTTCTACTCTGCTGTCAGTATTGTCATATTCCTTTTATCACCAACAGGCAAAAATTATCTTAACTTTGCTTAATGCTAAAACAAGCATAATTTCAATGAAATGCTAGCAACCTAATAGTTCAGTTAAAACCACCACAGCTTTTTAGATCCTAGCTGACTTGTGTCGTATCTGTAGTTAGAAATTGTTTTTCAATGTCTTGTTCCACAAAGAACAGTGAGATCTTTCTGCATTCTTTTTGATTACAACCATACTTGTACCACATTTTAGAGATTATTCTCTAGAGACATAGTACAATCCACTCCATCCTTCCTTCCTTCCAAACTAAATGGCTACTTATTTCTCAAGATAGAGTCCTCTTGCGGGCAGTGCTGGGTGGTGTGTTCACATAAACTTAAATGAAAATACACTTCCCGTTTAGTGAATTCCTGGTAATAGATTATTATTTGTTCACAAGGAATTCTGAAATGTGATAGCATTCATTACATTTTAAATTAGAAACACATTTCATAAAACTTCTTCCAATGAGATTTGCTATCCTAACACTGCTTACTTTAAAGAGTTTCAGCTCTTTTGTAATCCATTACATCAATATAGTCCCACATAAAAATAAAAAAATAAAGTTGAGAAGCACGTATTTCTCCTTTAAAAACTAGTGTAAGTTATTCTGAACACCAGCCCAGCCCAAAAAACATTTAAGAACCTTAAAAAGCATTGTTTTACAGATACTAAGAGTTGGCCAGGTAACAGCAATGAGCAGACATCCTATTTAGTAAGATAAAGCAGAATACATAATAAACAGGTCAGTAGTTATCCATCTGAAATAGCCTATAATTAACATTTGATGTCTAAAAAGTTTAAACAGCAACACCAAGGAATGAGGTATGTATGTTCTCAGATATCACATCAGACTCTCATTTTATGCAACTAACTGTATTTCACAACTAGCATCTTACAAAATAGAACAGTACCATTGTGCCTGAAGAAGTACTGCATTAAAAACAGAAAAATACATTACTACAAGAAACCATCAAACATCACAATTGTCAGGGGCTACAAAAATCCATTGTTTTAAGCTTTTAAGAAGACATATCATATGTTGGTAATAATTTGGGGCTGGATTCACTACCAAGAAGGTCCATCCAACTTTTACATGGGCTTTAAAATATATTTACTTTGAATGAAAAAGAAAAGGCTCATAGGAATGTAAGTGCACTATCTCCCTAAAAGGAGCTAAATGGACTTTTGTACTGAACCAGAATCTATAATTTAAAATCTATACATGAATTGTATGTATGTATCAAAACACTTATTGGTTGTAAACAAAAATGCAAAATCTGTATTCACAAAAATATTTTATTGGTAACTTTACATAATACCAGAAGGGACTGTAAATAATTCCGCTCTGTATCAGTATATTGCTAAGTGCGTAAATGTTGACAGTTTATGCCATAAAGCAGGATGGATACTGAGCTTTTTTCCATACGATTTATGACATAATACATTCTAATAGGCCAAATCAATATTAAAGAAATTGATTCAGGAACAAAAAATAACAGTATTGTTATTTTCTTATTCTTGTGCAACATCTGATATTCCTGTAATGAAATAAGTAACTAAGTGGCACTAGAAAAATTTGGGGAAAGGAAACAGCACTAAGCAGAAATGAGAACTGCAGTTCTGTTATTTTTAAAGCTTTTCCAAACTTCCATATTTCCAAATGTTAGTTTTTGCCAAATGCATCATCATCTGTAGTTCAGTATTTGTTACACAACACAGAATACCAGTGTACAGCGACAGTGCAGTACTTCACCTGAATTGCAAGGCTGACTAATCAATGCTTAGAACGTGTTTTCTATTTTGCTTGTAAACATTACAATAAGTGTTTTAAGTGCCAAAAAATATTGGTAAAACCATCAACATAATTCAGTAACAGTAATCTAGTAAAATGTGTCAAACATTGGCAAAAATCCATACAAATGTTTTCTTTAATAACATTTTTCCTATTTAACCACACCAAGTACCAGCAGGTGCTTTTAAGAAGATAATTATTATGAAAATTCTGTTGCAGCAATAGTTGATTAAGTTGATCTTTGACTTGCATACATATAACTATGTTTCACAATTCCCAAATAATACATATTTAGGCAGCTTGAACTATGTTATAAAAATTTAAATTCAGTACATGCCAATAGAGGAGACTCCAAGAGTTGTGTTAGGATTCACTAAACTAAAAGTGAAAATGGACATACCAATAACACTGCATAATGAACATTCAAACCACATTTTCATGGCACCCTTACACATGAAGATTAAAAAGTTGGTATGAACATGCTTTGTAAGCACTTGTAGATTGCATTTAAATTATTATAGAATGATAGACTATACTGAGTTGGAAGGGATCCACAAGGACCATCGAGTCCAACTCCGGCCCTGCACAGGATACCCCAAGAATCACACCATGTGCCTGAGAGCATTGTCCAAATGCTTCTTGAACTCAGACAGGCTTGGTGCAGTGACCATTTCCCTGGGGAGCCAGTTTCAGTGCACACTTTGGGTAATAAACCTTTTCCTGACATCTAACCTAAACCTCCCCTCACTCAGCTTCATGTTGTTATTGTTTCTACCACTGCGCTTCTTTCTTTTTTTTTTAGCTGCATAAATTATGTTCCAGTCAATATACCAATTATGTATGAATAACCTGTCATGAAAATGTGGTAACAGGTGACAGAAGTTATGTATTTGTATGTTTTGAAGAGAAGAGACTAAAACTGGAGGAAATAAACTTTAATGAGATTCCCCATTCAGTGATGATGCTTCTCCTCGGGGTGAAGATGACCTGGACATTCCCCTCTCTGTGTTGTCAGAGCTAGAACCACTCTGACTGTGTTGATCTGCAGAAGCAGCACTGGAAGCAGGTGGTGACTTAGTTTTCTCCTTAAAGTCTGTAATTATGACTGTCAGATCTCCAACGGTAACTTCCAAATGCTGAGCGCTACTTCGATCCACATTTTTCAACCTTGGCCTAAACAAAGCAAATAATCATATTAAAAGCACACACACCACCTTATTATCTTGTCTCCCTCCTACTTTTTAGGAGCTCTGGAGAGCAAACATATATAAGACTGCTTTCTGCAACATCCAACACATAGGAAAACAATGTACCACAAGTGTTAACAGTGGAGTGTTTCCTAATATATTTTACGTTGAAATAGTTGAATATAACACATTACTACCGAAAATCATTTAGAAGTTGACATTATGAATAATGTCACTGTACAGCAATATGGATGTATTGCACATGTGAAGGTTTTTACTTTTAAAGATCAAGTCTTTATTGTGACTATAGGAAGTTACAAATTTGATCCAGTGAAACCTCTATCTCTGCAGCAGCCTTAAGCAACAATTCTACGTAGAAAATTACAAATAACAAAGATGTTGGTATCTGTCTTTTCAACAGCACAGATAGTGTTAACTTGCAGCAGGTGTTACCTCATTTGAAAGCCTCACTAGGACCACCACTATACTATTTGAACTGGACTTTGTGTTCACAGTATAACTCTGGTATTTCTGGCATACACTGTGATTTAAATTATGCACAGAGATGAGTATTACACACAGTGTTGATAGGGTATCTTCATCTAATCTTTCAATTGTTTGATATTTCCTAACATCTCAGTGTCCTTAATCCTAAACATGACTTTCTAAATGACTGCTCTCTCTTGACTCTCAGTCTCTACCTGGTTCTGACCCTAATGATCAGGCATAGGAAAAGCATCTGCTACTTCTCTGCATAACTAATCCCAATGGATATTTCTGTCTTATATACTTCTCAGCTTCTCAGATTTTTGGCACAGCACTATTGCCACAATAACTTTATGCTCAGTTTGTGATGAATTAGGGGTTAAACCTGCTGCTTTTGTTTAGCAGTTTGAACCTTCCTTCCACCTGGTCTTACAGCAAGATCAAGGCTTTTACAACAGCTTATCTGGACTGTAATAATTCATGTTTTCAGTTCTAAGAGTCCAAGGTTTCCTTCAGCATCCCAGATGCAGCACAGAGATTTTTAACACTAGATAATATACATGCCTTATTCTGTCACATTAATTTATACCCTAGTTCAGCCCTTCAAAGCTAAAGGGTTCTGCAAGGCTATCAATAACCAAGTAACTTTCCCACTCATCTGCAGTCTGGTACTGGTTCTCTCTCTCCCCCACAACTATTCTATATGAAAACTAGTCACTCCCATTCTCTCTCTTTTCCAGAGATTAACATCATCAATTTGCCTATCAATAGTTCTGTATGGTGTGAGAAATACTTTGTAACCCTTAAAAGAATACCTTAATAACTCTTAAAAAGTCTTTCTTTCACTATTCAACTGATCTCCATCTTCTGACCACAATTACATACTGCAGGTCTTCGCATTTTATAGACATCCTAAACCAATGAAACTTCACAGACCAATATTTAACCTTATTGTTTGCCACAGCACTTAAAAAGCAGTACAATCAAAGAACATCTCTTATTTTTGTTTGCAAATTACATTTTACCAATACTGCAAAAGTGTCTAGATTTTTTTACCTGGTTTTCTTATGACTGTTCTTTTTGCTTGTTTCCTTTTCACTTTTTTCCTTTTCTACTTTGTCTTTTTTCTCTTTCTTTGATTGTGTAGGGGGCACAAATTGCTGAGGAACCTGCTGTGCAACCAGCTGTGAGACAGGTCGAGGTTTCCTGTGTGCACACATATAGACACACATAATGCTTAGACTTCACAAGTCTCAAATTGTCTACTGTTCAGTAACTAACATTAACAATTACTATAAAAAGAAATATTGTTAAAACATATCTTGCTGCTAATACTTCATTAAGATAGCATATTAAATTTAAACGTATTACAGCCTTTTGTTTCACTTACTTGCATTATCAGCAGATTTTTTTTTTTATTCTACAGGATTTAGAGACAATATTTTGTGATTTGCCCTCTTCTCCCAGTTGTCATATCCAGACAGAGACCTCATAGAGCGAACTCCAAAAGATAAAGCTCCCAAAGACAACACTTAACCACCCACTCCCAGCCCCCTAAAATGCTGAAGGGGTCTGTTTTGAGTGTACTCCAATACAGACATAGACAATCTGTATCCCAAAAAGGAAAAAGCTGACCTTTAAGAGCTAAAACAACTGTTGGCCTTATACAATAAAACTTAAGTGTTTTCAGCTCAAACAAATTCATTGAAGGCAATAATAAATCCTGTTGTGTATCATTTTTATCACGTTCACTGGAAAAAAAATATACTGCACTAATATTAGTAGGATATAACTGTCAGAAGACATATAGTTTGAGAGCTGGCAACGGAAACATACAGCCACATTCCACCAGTATACACAGTGCAGGTTTCATTTCCAAGTTTTCATCCAAATTGACTGTAGGAAGAGTAAAGCAGGCAAAAGAATTTCAGCAGTTTATTATTTTTACATTTTCCAAATTATTTTGAAATGGTTTAATTTTTATTCTGTTTTGTATTGTAATATAGTTATTTTAGTTTGAAAGGAAACGTTTTCCTCTTTCCAATGCAAATGTATTTATCTATTCTCTAATATTGGAATTAAGAAATTTCAAGTCATGACATAAAAAAGAAGGTTCTACTAATACTCTGTAGATGTAAATTTCTTCTCCAAAAGAATGTTTACCCTGCCAAGCTCTTGAATTTTGTTAGTTGAGTTGTGATGTTGGGTTTTGCAATTTTGCAGGTTATACGCACTGTGACACTCTGAGAATACAAAACAGTTATTAAAGTAAAAGAAGCTATCAGCTTATACACATATTTATTTATCCCAACCCACAGCATCACGCTACTGGCACTTCTTGCTTAGATGAAGAGACGAGAAAAATAACAAAAGGAGGAAATCAACACAGGTCCCATTAACAAGTTATATTTTCAGTAATGATTGCAACAGGTCATATTACAGAGTGAAAGTCAAATTAGAAGAATCCATGGAGTGTGGGAAAGGCAGTTAACATAAATTAGCTGAGATTTTGTGAGTCTTCACAGCAAGTTCTTAATGAATTAAAATAAATTAAAGTAAAGACTATTAAAATTGTCAACACAATAGAACTTTGAAGTAAAAACTAGAGTACCATTTTTATACTATTGAACTAAGCCAACACTGACTCATTGAGACAAAGAACAAGAACAATCACAACTGGCAACTAGGTATATCAATTGGCAACTTTATGACTACAGGCTCTTCAGGAGAGCACTAGGACCTTGCAAAGCACACATTGTACTGAGTCCATAACCACTGAAACAACTGGATGGACTACAAATGTGTAGGTTAACAGAGTACACAGGACATTTTCAAGAAAACCTGTCTCAGAATTGTTTTGACCTTTTGTCATAGCAGTTCATAACAGAGCAAGAACCACCAAGGTGTAATTGATGCGTGAGCTTATCACTTCAGGTGGAAAATATTTGTCACATATAAACAAAACTGATGATCTGTCTTGATTGTTCCAGGAAATAGGGATACAGTTTCTCATGACAGTCAAGTGACAATCCCATTATTACTACACAGTGACCTGAGAGAATAATCTGACATGTTACTTATGAATTAAGACAGTAGTGAACTTCTGGACATAGAATGAATTGTTTCCCAGAACTGTGGACAATGCCATGATTATGAAAACTTGTTAAATAGAGGGGAAAAAAAAGTCCTAGCCAAATAATTTTAGAAGTTGTCAATTTGTAACAGTTTCAGTTCTTGAGGGTAAACTAGATAATTTATATTAGAGTACACCTGGGAAACTAAGCTTAGTTCTAAGTCCTATGTTTAGAACTTCTTTTCTCAATACCATAAAATTAGCGAGACTGAAAAAAAAAAATCTTTGCAACAAGGTACAGAAGTCAGTTAAGACAAAAAAGGCACAGAGAAATCATGTTTTGGAAGATGCATTAAAAATTAATCAAGAGGTTCTATGTGGTTTTGCTGTAACAAGGCATTCTACTCAGTTATTTTATTCCTTCCATTGAAACAGCCAGCTTTTGGTTGTCAATTATTTCTATAGCTGTCTATTAGTTATATCAATGTTCTAAATTTTATTATGTGATTTGTCACTTCCAGATTTATTAAATAATGCATTCAGTGTTTTATATTAAAAAATGAGAAAAAAGTAATTCATATCTCTCAACATTAGGAATGTCTTTCAAGAATTCAATTTTTTTTTCTTTAGGTACTCAAAAGGCGTTACTAAATTGCAGCCAAGCACTTTGCAAGCCATGTAGGAGTTAGGAAATATCTTTATCACTCATGAAGCTTTAACCTGATAGAATTGTTCCTGACTTAGCAGTAGCTGAATCATGTCATTCAAGCATGAAGGAATTCATAGAGAAAAGGCTTTCTCAGAGAAGATAAAAGTAAGAGAAACTATCCTGTAATAGGAAATTGATTTTGATGATTTGTCAAAATACATTTTAAATTATTGGTTTTCAAAACCAGTTAAAGACTCCTTGCAATAGGCTGCTACAGATTAAGTATATACAGACAGTGTTAATACTAGCTTTTATTTCATCAATATACTTATGGTAATTTGCTTTTTAAGCACATTTAAGAGTACCTGAGTTTTCTGGTGTTTAGAAAGAAGTTCTATAATCTTCTGCATTAAGATTACAAGCACTGTTGCCTCTACCACTGGGCCACTATTGGACCACCTCAACTGAACAGTTCAGAACCACAAGCAGAAATGTTCATAAAAACAATACATATAATTTAGCCAGCCTCTAAAAGCTTTGTATTCTTACCTAGTAATGCCACTTCACTAATTTGAAGGGGAACCCTAATAAAGAAAGGCATACACTATTACAGAAGATAAGAGCTATCAGTTCTTTCCAACAGAGGTGAACTTTACGGTTTAAGCACTGTAGAACATTCCAGTTCCAAATATTATACCTCTCCTCTACCACCTAGTTTTCCTTTTCAGACAGTGTTATCTTTCTTCTAAGTTAACATCAGCCATACTTCTACCTACACTTCTATTCCAACCTCATCCAGTTTTATTAATTCTCTAATTCCAATGTTGTTTTCAAGGTGCTGCACACAAATATGCACATACTTCATAGTCTCCTTAAAAAAATTAGGAAAACTAACATTTTTGTTTTTTAAAAAGCTGACAGACATTAACACAAACATACAAGGATAAAGTTTTTTATCTTCTCTACAATTCCCACAAATGCTAAATGATAAGGATGTCACCATTTTAGCCCAAGTCTTGTTGCAGGATTTGATCTAGCTGCTGGTTTATAAGGTATACTTACAGAGATTGCAGCAACCTGTCTTTAGGTTTTGCGTGCAGAAACTCATTCAGTGCTGATGCTCTCAAATGAAACAAATATTTAATACTGCAAAGCATGGACTACTTTTCATTGCTGGCATTCTTAAAAAAAAAAATCTTTGTAATACAGCAACTTACATGCCTAAAGATGAAAAATACTCATGCACTAGAACAAATGATACCTGGAATTTTTGCCCTGAGTCATTCCATGTTGCACAGCTCAACACAATACCTTCTCATAAGTCATTTTGAACATCTCAAAGAAGTACACGCCTCCTTAATTTCACTCATTTGGTACTCACCAATAATCTATGTTAATAGAAATTTGACTAATTTTATAAAGTGAATAACTTGGTTTCATTACAAGAATGCAGGTCCATTTTGAGAATGGAAATAAAAAAATACCTATGTACAATAGAATCATAGAATCAGCTGGGTTGGAAGGGACCTCTGAGATCATCAAGTCCAACCCTTGATCCACTACCACCATGGTTGCTAGACCATGACACTAAGTGCCACATCCAGTCTCATCTTAAAAACCTCCAGGGAGGGAGAATCCACCACTTCCCTGGGCAGCCCATTCCAGTGTCTGACCACCCTCTCTGTAAAGAATTTCTTCCTAATATCTAACCTAAACCTCCCCTGGCACAGCTTAAGACCATGCCCTCTTGTCTTGCTGATAGCTGCCTGGGAAAAGAGACCAACCCCCATCTGGCTACAACCTCCTTTCAGAGAGTTGTAGAGAGTGAGGAGGTCTCCCCTGAGCCTCCTCTTCTCCAGGCTGAACAGCCCCAGTTCCCTCAGCTTTTCCTCATAGGACTCGTGATCGAGTCCCTTCACCAGCCTTGTTGCTCTTCTCTGGACCTGCTCCAGCACCTCAATATCCTTCCTGAACTGAGGGGCCCAGAACTGGACACAGCACTCCAGGTGTGGCCTCACCAGTGCTGAGTACAGGGGAAGAATCACTTCCCTGGTCCTGCTGGCCACACTCTTCCTGATCCAGGCCAGGATGCCATTGGCCTTCTTGGCTACCTGGGCACACTGCTGGCTCATGTTCAGCTTCCTGTCAATCCAAACTCCCAGGTCCCTTTCTGTCTGGCTGCTCTCCAGCCACTCTGTCCCCAGCCTGTAGCACTGCATGGGGTTGTTGTGGCCAAAGTGCAGGACCCGGCACTTGGCCTTGTTGAACCTCATCCCGTTGGAATCAGCCCAACTCTCCAGCTTGTCCAGGTCCCTCTGCAGAGCCCTCCTGCCTTCCAGCAGATCAACACTCCCCCTTGGCTTGGTGTCATCTGCAAATTTGCTGATGGTGGACTCAAACCCCTCATCCAGATCATCAATAAAGATATCAAAAAGGACTGGGCCCAACACTGATCCCTGGGGGACACCACTAGTGACCGGTCGCCAACTGGATGCAGCACCGTTCCCCACCACTCTCTGGGCTCGGCCCTCCAGCCAGTTCCTAACCCAGCACAGAGTGCCCCTGTCCAAGCCATGGGCTGCCAGCTTTTTCAGGAGTATGCTGTGGGAGATGGTGTCAAAGGCTTTGCTGGAGTCCAGATAGACCATATCCACAGCCTTCCCCTCATCCACCAGGCGGGTCACCTGATCATAAAACGAGATCAGGTTGGTCAGACAGGACCTGCCCCTCCTAAACCTGTGCTGGCTGGGTCTGATCCCTTGTCCATCCTGTAGGTGCTGTGGGATTGCACTCAGGATGATGTGCTCTGTAACTTTGCCAGGCACTGAGGTCAGGCTGACGGGCCTGTAGTTTCCCAGGTCCTCCTTCCGGCCCTTTTTGTGGATTGGCGTGACATTTGCCAACTTCCAATCATCTGAGACCTCCCCAGTGAGCCAGGACTGTTGGTAGATGTGGAGGGTGGCTTGGTGAGCTCTTCCACCAGCTCCTCAAAAATGAAAAATCCACAATATTCTTTAAACACAAAGAATTTCCTTCCAGGCAGTTCAGGTGAACAGAATAAAAGCTTCTAAGTTAATTCAAGTTCCCAAATCTTCTACTCTACTTCTTGTTGCTTTAAGGCCCTCACTGCACAGGACTTAGGTAACGAGTTCATCATGTGTTTGAACATCAACTTTCACACTTCTGCAATATGTTCTATCCTACCAGCATTGCATGGCAGAACTTATTGTTTGGAAACAGCAGTTTAGTCAATTAGCCCCCTGGATTTTACTGTCCAAGGTTTTACAAGAATTATCAAAATTGCTATCGCCAAAAGGTCTTATAAGCAGTAAATAATCTATTTATGTATGTGATGTTTGGTCAAACTTGTGAAGCTTACTGCTAAAGAATAGAATCAGTACAAAAAAGAAATGTGATTGCCTTTACAGATTCCACATAGAGGTTTTTTTACAGTATCTCCTTGGGAAAGTCTTGCAGTTTATTCCAAAAGCTGAATTATAAACACAGGGTATGCTGATAATGTTATGGATTAAACCCAGAACACTTGTCACAGTTCTGAATAACACAGTAGAAACTCTAAAATCAAATTCAGGCATTCCCGAATAAGTATCTTTGTGCAAAGCATAACAAGGTCAGTCAGCCTGTAGGAAAAACTACCTACAACTATTCACTAGGCTTCAGAGAAAGTCAGTCAGCTCCTTTAAATAACCACTCCAGTTTTCCTGAATCTTACATCTCTCTTCGTTTACTACTTATGAGGGACAACTGCTTAAAAAGCAACCTTCTGTAAATAGAAGAGATCGCTGTAATATCTTCTATTCTGTAAATAGAAGAGAGAGAAACCCTCTCTCTCTCATGCCCTGCAGACTTGCCTATCTCCTTTCCATCTGCTACTGTGTGGCTTCTGTATGTTTCTGACTGAGATGACTCAGTTAAGGTACTCAATATTTTTTTTTAAATGGAATTCTAATTTCAATCATATACTAGTATTCCTCCTCCACCAGCCTCCACCTCCTTTGTTATTCCCTCATCTAGTGATGATTTCAGAAATGCCTTGTTAACATTCCAAATCCTAATAAAAATCCTGTCTTGCTGATGTTTGTTTCATACGTGTCTTTAAAGACTAAACAGAATACAGTTAAGTGCATTAAAATCTTGTTGAGAACAAAGCTGAATCATTCAAATCCTACTCTGTTCTCTCATTACTAGACTGGATCATTTTGCAGCACAAATGTACAGGCTTTAAATATCTTATAATTTATTTGAAGATCATTTTCTACTCACATCTATCCTAAATATTAATGTCTCAAGAAGCTAATAGAAATCTGATATCCACAGCAATACGCTAATCTTCATTTTTCTAGTTCACAGTCATTAGTGAAATCTCAAGAAAAGCTTATCTTTGCATACCTTTTACTTTATTATCATATTCTAGCTAGTCTCTACACAAATCTCCTTCACCATGTCCTCATTCCTCCAACTACTACAGTCCACATTCTCAAATATATCTTAACAGAGTAACTAGAGAAATTAATTTAAAAATAAAAGGTAGTTCCTAACCTCCAAAGCAAACAGACTAGGACAGGGAGTCAAATACAAAGATGTGTGATATTATAGTAAACAGCTTTTTAAACAAAGTGAAGGATGTGAAAAAGTGGTTTTAGGTACAAGATTTTCTAAGAAATGACTACTCCTGTAACACATCAGAGAACACCATCATCTAGGTATGAATGTTTTCAGCAATTCTTATGGCATCTATTTCAGTAACTTTTACAGGGCACAGCTATAGTTAAGTATTATAGTAATATTATAGAGTGATACGCTTCCTGTGCATTTATAAAAAGACATTAATTATGCAAAATTCTAACTGTAACTTTGTAATAGGGCTTAGATAGCTTTTCACTCAGCAGATCCCAGGACAGGTTACAACCAGCAGCTTTGGAATGTGACTTTTCCATGATGGATTGATGATGTAGATTTAGACACCAGAAGATCTAAATGGCTCCAGGAAAAAAACCAAGATACTTCAAATTCATTTTCTGTAACAAGTAACAAGTACCTTGAAGTAGAAGTTAGTAAGAAGTAAATAAACTTTCCTCCCACTCACTAGCCAGGTCTTTTTTATATAGTTATCTCCCTTCCCCCACCCTCATAAACTGATAAAGAGTTACTATATAAATATCAAGTAATTAACTTTCCCTCTTCCTCAGGCATGTTTTCTCTCTTTTTCAGAGGTCTTTCTGCAGAAAAGGTAACAATGACCCTAATAATTTTTGCATTTATGCCCCTCCAGAGTATCTTTCCCCTCTCACTATAATTGGTTTTAATGATAACAAACATAAGCAACTTCACTTAAACATTCACCTATTAAACAGACACAGCTACCAGAGTCTTCCTTGCTTTGAGCTAACTTCTGCTTCCAAAGAGCTTAACTTCAAAGAGACTGCTCTTTTCTTCAAGACTAGGAATTCATGAAAAATGTTGGAAGGCTGAGACCTATATTTATATAGATATTGCAATGGTATTCACAGCTTTAAATAAAAGAAATGGAACCAAATTTAATTTCACATCATAACCTTATTATCATGGCTTACAAATGCAAAAGAATTTCCTAAGAGTCAAGAAATTGATACTTGAATTCCTCATAATACAGAATGAAATTACTAGAATCAAGACACACATACATGCATTATGTCATTGCAGTGACTATCCTCATGTAATAATGCTGACAGTCAAAAGCCAATTTGACACATAAGGAGTGACAGAGTCCTACAAGACTTCAAGTGAGAAGGCAAAACTTTAACTGTTACATTTTAGGCCATTCATTCCAGTTTATGCACAAATCTGTACTGTTAAGGTGTATGTGCAATCTGGCTGCACAGAAACCAAGAAAAAAATTCCCTATCTTTACCCCATCAATATCTTTTTTACTGATCTTTGTGCTTCAAGACAATGAAGTTTTCAATGCTAGTTTGACAGTAAAAATTTAAAAGCATGAAATATTTTTCAAACTTCAATAGCAGAGGACTATTTTTGTCAAATGTAAAACACTCATTCCCAAATAATTTGACAGAATTATTGACCATTTCTACACACAAAATGCACAGTTTTTAATATATCCTTCCACATATTTGCAGAGTAATAGCTACAGTGTTTTCAGATTTTATTTTCTTCTATCAGGTAATTTTTCAATTAACAACATATTTTTCTAGATTTGATACATAAGCAAAATTTGCTGTCTAAAATTACATTTATCTTTTTACTGACTATCATACCTACTCCACAATGTCTTTCTGCAGCATCTTGTGCAACAAGAGCTTCTAGGTTCTGCCAAACAATATTGCAGAACAAAGAAGGTGCTTTTTTTAACTTTGCTATAAACCCAACACAAACATTTGTTCCATTACTATTGCTGGGTTTTGTGATCAAGTGCAAGTAGGCCACAATTTACCTCTTAGTAAGAAAAAAAAAGACTCCTTTCTGCAAAAGCACATCAATATTATTTAAAGCAAATGGGAAACCATCAGGAACACAGTGTATACTAAGTAGTATTGCAAATGCTGTGGCCAGTTAGATCTTCCAAACTGTGTTCTGCACAGAAGCGAGCAGCTCATGTAACGATGCCTCTCCTGATTTTTAGCAGTTGAAGTCCCATTATGAGAAGTAAAAGATATTTCCTATTAGCACTTCTTGTAATACAAGTTGCTAGCAATTAAATTAAATCACTACCAGGAGAAGCAGTCTTTGGGTTCTGACACAGATCAGCTCACCCTCCCCCAGTCATCACTACTGTATTAAGCTATTCATAGAATAAAAACTATCAGATTAAACTACATTTAGCTTGCCATGTCACATGAATATGCTCACACTAATCACCACGCAAAGCCATCTTGTGAGAAACTAGTCTTTATTTCTACATTGAAGCAGTTCATGATTAAATGCATCTTCAACAAATTTACACTGCTATCCAAAATTATTTTTTCTCGTTACCATTACTTCTGTCATATCCTAGAGTGTTAACAGTACATTACACTGCCTTCACAAATTATACAACTATGTAATTATGACAGTGCAAACAATGGAGCTAGTAGTCTGTATGGGAAAACATAATATAGTTCCATCTGCATATTGCAGAGTAACAATGCAATTTCTAAACATCCTATGCATATTTGAATTCTAACTTTCAGCCAGCTCTGATTTGTGCTTTCATATTCCTAACTGTTTTACAGTGTGAATCATTTACTTGGAATTCATCCATTCAGTGCATTTCTAGCAATTCTGTCTTTCAATAAAAGCTGATTCAATTAAAATAGACTCACAAGACCCATATGGTTTTATCAGTCACAGTAAAAATGTGCAGAAAACTACCCCTTGAGGCAATGTTCCTATTTAATCATTCCCTTAAAGGGAATGCCCTATTTTCCAGATGACATTTAACAGACGAGGCCAGCAAGTCTCCTGAAGACAACTGGTACAATGCACAACAGCCTGCTCTAAGAAGAAATACATGTACCAAGACCTTTAGAAAGGCAAAGTTCATCTTCATGGATACTTTTCAAAGCGGCAATGAAATTTTACTTCTCCAACAACCAGTTAAGTCTCCAACCCTCTGAACGTTGTTAGAATTCTTTCCCATGTGCCACAGACTATGGCTCATCAATGCTCAGCATGGCAGATATATTGAAAGTACTCTGTTAGAGAAACATAAAACCAATTTATGTTTCCTAGAAGACAATGTGCTCCATATGAGCAGCGGTTACAAAGCTCAGTTTCCTTAACAACTTCCCCTGAGGAGGCAGTATTTGGGACTCTACAGAGAAAGCAGTGGTTACATTGTTTTAGACCCCTAGATCCTTAGGATTTATGGGGAAGTGACCTCTTCTGACTGCCAATCCCACAAAAGATTGGATCCTTCAGGCTGCTCCTCTGTCCCCTTCCCGCAGAAACTGTGATGCCTCTTACACCTATGCAAAAAAACACACGCAGAACACAAGGTTCACACTGATGCAGCAGCGCAGTCATTGTTGCACTGAACAGGGTCAATACTTGGCACAGTTGGTTTTGCAACCAAATAGGAAAGAACTTGCTTCTCACCTATCTTATTTGTTCTGCACTGCAGGCATCATCTTCCCAGAAGGCTGCAGCAATCTACAAACTTCTTGCATTCAGAGCCAGCCCCACAAAGATGTCCACCTTAAGTAGGGGAAAAGACTTTTGACTAAAAAGTCAAGTCTCCATAACATTCTTCAGTAAAACACATATTAATCTAAAAAGATGCCACAGAATCAGTCCTGACCTTCTCTTTCACCCTTCTTATTCAATTATAGAACTTCTAGTGCATGATCGTAATCACAGATTTCAGTGATATCTGTAAGAAACAACTTTCCTTTCACTCCATGTGCCAACCAACTTTTTTCAGCTTTTAGAGTTAGGAACTTTATTTTCATTGTGAATTTTCAAGCCCCCACTCATTCACACATTTTTTTTCTGCTAGGCACTGTAATTTGAACTGTACAGTTCAGAAAAAGTATATTCAAGCATTATGGAAAAGTTTAAAGCTAAGTACCAAATCTCCAGTAAATCAGAATGTGAAAACTTTCAATTGCTCATTTCCTCCCCACCCCTCAACTTCTAAGAAGACAAGAAAAAACTTGTAGCAGACATCAGGGTCTTGTAGTCTTCTCCCAGACTTCTGATGAAAAATTTGCCAGCCAAAAGCCTACCAACAACATTCTGCAGCTGAACTCTCCAAGTTCAAGCCTGCTCCACATCAGTGTACCACATACCAGTGGAATGCACTTCAGAGGGTACAGACAATTCTCAAGATCTCTCTGTCCTACTTAAACCAGGATAAGCTACTGTATGAAAGTGTAAAAATTGAACACATAATATTTTGTTCTAACCTACTTTAAAAGTATTTTGTAGCTCACTGTATAAGCCAAGACACGACTTGATACTTTAAGAAAATTTTCTGCAAAGCAGACTGTCCTAACCCGACTTTCAAGATGAAAAGTATAGACACTTTATCAAGTTTTAAATAGGAACAGGCATAGTGGGTTGTCACAACTATCAAGGAAAAATTGCTATAAAAAGTCATGGGGCAGAAAATGCAACTTCTCATCACTCTACAGGTGATACAGGAGCTTTCTTCCCACCAGTTAGACTTCTCTTTTAATATCGTCCATCTTATTGTAGGTGTTTATTCAAATCCCAGTAGCTTTTAGTCTAGGACAGATAATTTTCCCTAGAAAAGATACATGGAGCAGGAATACCATTGGTGGCACTAAAAACAAAGAGGACATTTCAACAAAAACACTCAAACAAAAACAACAACCAAAAAAACATTAAAAAATCCCAAACCAAATCTAACCAAACAAACAAACACAAAAGCCCTCCAAGAAACTCCCAAAACTAAACACATCAAAACACACACTACTTATGCCCCAAAGGAAAGTACTTAACCACGAAAATAGAGAGAAGTATATCCACTATCAAATATGGAAAGGAAGCAAGTACCAGATGACATAAAGGCTTCCATGCTTCAGTACCCACACAAAAGTTTAATTCCATGTAACCAAATTAAACAAGGCAGTATGAGTACAAGCGAGAATAAGAAACAGACTGGGCTACTGAATGTTAATGATGGCAGTCTACAGCCTCTAATGAAATTCACCCTCAGAATCAAGTGTTTAGAGAACTACATGAAGATGGAAAAAGTCATCAAGTACTGCAGAAGGGAAAAAAAAAAAAAAAAAAAAGAGAACTCCCAAGATAGGGAAATAAAAATGCAGGTAGGAGTAGATAACTCAGCCTAACTCAAATTTCAGAAAGATACCAGAATGAAATTATTTAAGAATTGGGAGCATTAAAGGATAAAGCCAACTGGCTTGTCACAGCTAGTTCCTCTCTTTTATGGACTGATAGTCCTACTGACTAGGAGAAAAGGAATACATGTTCCCAGTCTTACTTGCAGCACAGTCAAAAATACATCCTCCCACACAAGCTAAACTATGATGAGGACAAAGTTTCAAAATGAAGTTCAAAATTTGGGTTTGCTTGTTTAATAGTTCTCAGCAACCAGCTGCAGAGACAGCAGCATGTACAGCATAATTTTTATAGTGAGGTTCTATGGGTATACTATCTAATATTCTTAATCATGCTTTGGACAAAGGAATAAGGAATAGAACAAGCATCAAGCTGAAAGGTGGTGACAACTATTTGATAAGACCATCCCGAGTGAAGATGACTCAAAAATCAAAATTATGAATTCCAAGAAAGACAGCACAAAGCACTGCGGGCCTCATGACAGCATGAAAAAAAAGCCCTACTTAAGTAACAATGGGATACAAAAGGACACCAGACTGTACTGGATCAAGCAGATTACAAGGCATGGATAAATCAACATCATGGTACTACTGCACAAAGGAAAATTCTCATTCAGGGAAGTGTGAACATCAGACATCGTAATTTAGCAGAATTCTAGAAAGCCACAGTCCTTCTAAACCATACACTAGGAATTACTCAGCTGAAGGTATGTCCTCATTCTGGGCTACTACTGTAAGGAACAAATGTGTCAACTGAACACTCAGGAATAAAGAATCATGATATAAAGAATTATGATTTAAGAAAATCATTACCTTTAAGAAAAGACTGCTGAAATTTTCTTCTTTATATGAAGACTTACAGAGGGAAAGTGGGTGAATATGAAAACCAAAAGCCAATAACCAAAGAACTACAAATGTAGTGTGTAATGCACTAAAGGGGGAAGGGGAGTATAAATCAACCTATCTCACTGAACACAAAGGTTAGATATCTGGAAAAACAGCAAGGGTAAAAGGCAGTATAAATAACCTGTCTAAAGAGGTTATAGTCCCCTTCACTGGAGACTTGTTAGCATAAAGATAATGCTAGAAGTTGCCCAGGTTTACTGATCCTCTTCCAAAGTAGAAGAGGGTCTAAATCACTGGAAGACCTTTTCCATCCTGAGCTCCTAGGACAATAAGACAAATGAGACATATCAGCCTTTACACCCAAACCTATAATGAACAGAAAAGAATTTAGAGCTTTCACTGCTTTCTAACTGTGGAAAACAAATGCTAATCTATTTTGCTGACAGAATCTTTCTGTGATCCTGCAGTACTATTAATAAAGTTGGCCTTCTAGAGAGAGTATCCCCTAAATCCATGATCAGATCTGAGATCTTGGAATCAGAGGGCTAAGTAGTTCTTCCTGTTCAGCAGCTCTGATATCATTAGTTATCATAGGAGGGAAAAAAAGAATGTTTATAGAAAGCGATCGATTTCTTTCTGCTCCATGTTTGTTTCTTTTAATTACATAAGGTGCATATACACAGAGAAGGCCAAGTAACTAAATTTCTGGCCGATATAACACTAGAGAACTACAGGCCTGTCAGCCTGACTTCAGTGCCAGGGAAGGCCATGGAGCAGATCATCTCGAGGGCCATCACACACCAGGTTACAGGAAAACCAGGGGATCAGGCCCAGCCAGCAAGGCTTTAGGAAAGGCTGGTCCTGCCTGACCAACTGATTTCATTCTACGACAAAGTGACATGCTTAGTGGAAGAGGGAAAGGCTGTGGATGTTGCCTGCCTGGACTTTAGTAAAGCTTTTGACACTGTCTCTCACAGCATTCTCCTGGAGAAACTGGCTTCCCATGGTGTGGACAGGTGATAAGTAAAAAAACTGGCTGGATGGCTGGGCCCTGAGAGTGATGGTGAACAGTTATACCCAGATGGGGGGTGATCACTAGTGGTGTTTCCAAGGACTCAGTACTGGAGCCTGTCCTGTTTAATATCTTCATTGATTACATGGACCAGAGGATCAAGTGCATCCTCAGTCAGTTTGCAGGTGACACCAAACTGGGTGGGAGTGTTGATCCGCTGGAGGGTAGGAAGGCTCTGCAGGGGGATCTGGACAGGCAGCATTGATGGGCTGAGGACAACTGTATGAGGTTCAACAAGGCAAAGTGCTGGGTCCTGCACTTGGGTCACACCAACCCCAGCCAGTGCTACAGGCTGGGGAAAGAGTAGCTGGAAAGCTTCTCAGTGGAAAAGGACCTGAGGGTGCTGGTCAACAGCCAGCTGAACACAAGCCAGCAGTGTGCTCAGGTGGCCAAGAAGGCCAATGGCATCTTGGCTTGTATCCCAAATAGTGTGGCCAGCAGGCCCAGGGCAGTGACTGTCCCCCTGTACTGGGCCCTGCTGAGGCCACACCTCCAATCCTGTGTTCAGTTTTGAGCCCTCCACAACAAGAAGGATATTGAGGTGCTGGAGCGTGTCCAAAGAAGGGCAAAAAGGCTGGTGAAGGGACTGGAGCAAAAGTCTTCTGAGGAACAACTGAGGCAGCAGGGGTTATTATAGTCTGAAGAAAAGAAGGCTCAGGGGAGACCTTATCACTCTCTATAACTACCTGAAAGGAAGTTGTAGGAGGTTGGTGTCGGTCTCTTCTCCCAGGTAACAAGTGACAGGACAAGAGGAAATAGCCTCAAGTTGCACCAGGGGAGGTTTAGTTTGGATATTAGGAAAATTTTTTTCATTGAAAGGGTAGTCAGGCATTGGAACAGGCTGCCCGAGGAAGTGCTGGGAGTCAGGATCCCTGGAAGTTTTCAAAAGATGTATGGATGTGGCACCTGGTGACATGGTCTGGTGGCAAACACAGCAGTGCTGTGTTAATGGTCAGACTCGATGATCTTAGAGGTCTTTTCTAACCTTATTGATTCTACAATTTTATGGTTCTATTTTCAACATGACGCAAAAAGGAACAACTAAACTAGGTTTAAATCAACTATCAAAGTTGGATCAAACAGATCCTATGGGGTTTTAGCCCAGTATCAAATACTCTTTGTTTTGTTCTGGGAAGATTGCAATAAAGTGAAGGAAAAAAAAATTACTGAGGTATGTCAGACATCAGGAAGGAGGTACAGAAAAAAAGAAAACAAGAAAGCATCAAACCAAAAATATCAATTTCATGCTGGAGAGAAAAAAAAAAACCCAACACATTTTTTATGAACTGTTTAGAGTAACAGATTAAAGTATCTGTCAAGTTCATCTTAAAAAAATCAACACCCCCTTCCACACTTCTTTGGAAAACTGAAAAACTTCTTTCTTTTCTAGAATTGATCTTCTTTTGAGTGGCTGTGAATTGCATTCTCTATTGCCCATATAAGCTACACCCATCAGAAGCATCTAACAGAGCCAGGCCACTCAATAAAAATTCATTCATTGTTTAATAAAGAAAACAAAAACTCATTCTAGTTGATGTGTGCAGAATTCTTAAGTTTCACTATATTTTTTTCAGGGAAAATAATTCCTAAATAAGTTTCCTAACAATTCTAAAAACTCTTCTTAAAAATCGGACTGGAAGTCCAGAATGACTGGATTACCCCATGGCTATCTACAGAGCAAAAGAGAACTATTTATTCTTACTTTTTTTTATAATTTAATATTGACACTAAAACATAA